CCTGGATGCCACCCTGTGCCACATGCTGTAGGTGTGCCTGCTTGAGCAGGAAGGTTGGACTAGATGATCTGTAGAGGTCCCTTCCAAACTTAAATATTCTGTGAATCTGTGAATCTGTGTAAAAGCCTATTTACAAAGCAAAGATCAAGCATGCTGTGGAGCACTACATTAACCTGGGCTCAACAGATACTTTTCATCTTGATGCTTCTTACTGGCTAGCCTAAATAAGTCCCTCTTTGGCAGCTCAAATGTGTCCCATTTCTAAGGGACCTTTCCCATGCATTGCATAGGAATGAGGTGGCTAATTCAGAATCATCTATTTTCATAATAGCCACATTCTGCTTATTAATGTAGTACACATCATATGTTGGGGATTGAAACATAGCCTACAGGCTCTTTTCACTCTACTGTCATTATTTCCCTTTTAAAGTGTTTTGCTGCTTTTTTCTTTTTAAGAAAGAATATACTAATAATATATAAATTAATATATMWTACATATATATTATATATATAGTATAATATATAAAAATATACTAATAAATACTAATATAAAATTGGTATAAAAGTATATAAGCAGTGATAGATTGTTTATGGGAAATTGATCATGTTGACTGAACATCTTTTGACTAATGTAAATACATCTGTATTTATGGCTTCTAGTACTGTGGCTACAAACTGTCCAGGGTCCAGGTCTGGCACTAGAAATGACAACTGGGACTCCTTCTTGGTGGAAAATAGAGAAGAGTAAATGTAAAATAAGAATACAATTTCATTAAAGTGAAAGAAAAGCCAGACCTATACAAGGCAAAACCAGAATGTCAAGTTCTGATTTTTGAAATGAAAAGAGACTTAAAAAGAAATCAGGATTTTTTTAAAGCAAGTTGAACGCAAAGGAACACAGAAATTTGAGTTAACTTTTCTACTCTTTCCAAAGGTTAAAATTCGCATCAAAGGGATTTGATTCTCCTCTGCTTTCCACCAGTGTCCTTCTCCTAGTTGCTCTTGGCTGTGGTCCTTACATATGCTCTGCACAATAATTTCTAACTACGTCAGGAACAAACAAGCTGGCAAAAACAACTCCTATTAAGCAAAGATATTTTCCTGAAAAGACGGAACCCAGCAATATGATTGGTTGTTTGCAGAAATAATTACCTTCATGCATAGGAACCATGAGAAACAGATGTGGACAAAAAAAAAATGACAGATGAGGAACGTTAATTAGGAGCTTTAAAAAGATAACCAAGAGCAGAGCTAGCAGAAAGATTAGAAACTGCAGGGCCAGCTTATTATTTACATGCTTCTGATCATTTAAGCTTAATCTCTTTATTATGCATCCTCTTTGTCTTTCTCTGCTCTTTATTTTCAGCTGTAGTTACTTCTGTGGTCTAAAAATGACAATGTTATCAAATGCTTGTAGAAAAAAAAATGTGTTTTTATTATTATAAGGCAAGGATGTATTTATTTTAAGGTAAAATTGATTTTCCCAAAAGTCATAAAAGATATCATTAATTAAAAAAATACATAGTCTTCTGTTTGGTGCTAATTTCTTTATCAGGAGTAGCTTTTGTCTTCGGAAGAAATAGAGAAAACAAAATCAAGCACGGTTTGCACCATTTTAATATGATAGTGTGCTTTTAGATAACTTCTTAATAAACTAGAAAGGCTCTTGATGCTCTAAAGAAACCTTCATATTTTATATGACTTGCAAGGAGGAAAGACTTAATGAACACACAGCATATTTTGAAAAAATGGTAATTTGAGTATGTTACAGCATGTGCATTGAAGTCTGAAGTAAAAAATGTGTGTATGTAATGTACCATAATCCACCAGAGTGCAATTGCAACTCTTGATTTGTTCTTCTAGAAAATAATTAACTGGATAACTGTAAAAGACACAATTAATTAAATGATTTGTTTATAATTCTATCTAATAATGGAAAGATTTTCTTCATGGAAATAAATAAATAATATTTATATATATATATAAATACTATTTTTAAAGGTATAATATATACAATATATCAAGAAAATTAATACTTACATAAGGGATTGTGTCCAAAGTGTCTGTGTTGACAATTATAGGGGCAGGGCTTGCCTGAAAGACAAAAAAAAAAAAAAAAAAAAAATTTTGGGATTTCAATGATTACTCGGCTACGGGA